TGAGGAGAAGGCCAAGTCGGCCGACAAGGAGGTCGAGGTTGTCAAGGTCATTACGCCAGCTGAGGATGATTCCAATAAGTTGCAAGATCCTCGCGATGAGTTGGTTCCGGTGTCAGATTAAGCCATTGAAACTGCTGCCAAGGCAAAGGAGTCGCCAGTCTTGGAGCGACTATCTTCAGGGATCGACGTCGGGGAAGGCAGCGGTACTGGAGACAATGTGGAAAAGACGACCGACGCGGCGTGAAGTTTAGAAGTATTCTTTTATACTGTTTGCACTATTAATATTTGCAATAAGATATCGGGGTGCCAGTATGTTGGCATCCTTAGTAGGAAATACATGAATATATAATCGGGGATATCAGGTAGCTGATTCCCTTAGTAGGACATGTGTAAGGGTTTGCTCAACATTTTTAAGATATATTTATATGATATGTTTGCATAATATATACTTTGATTTATGTTTTGCTGTACAAATTTCAGCAATTTTTTCGACCAAGTGTTCTGAACTCGGTTCGGATTATAAAACGAATTGCTCCAACTCATTAACCGAGTCGTGAGCTTTTGTAAGAATAATTTCCGAGTTCCACTTTGATCTTTGGTTTTGTAATAATTTCAGCCACAAGCGCAAGTCAATATGCGAGTTTTCAAATAACTCACGAAACTTAACACATTCTTAGGGCTGTACGTGAAATAAAATATACTTCACCGAACTTCGTCAGAATTCGATTATGGAACGGTCCCAACCGATTTATATCTTCTGTATTCGGTAATTTTCAGGACCCGCCAAGTCATGTGTGTTGAAATGGCGTTTGACGAGCGTAACCCCCATCCGAAACATGTTTGGAGTTCGGATATATTATGGGGTATTAGTAAGACCGAGTGTCGCAATGCTTACATCGGTACAAGATATTCATAGAACCGAGCTTAAAAATGTTTACATCGGTATCGAGCTGCTGCTCGGATTTCCAAAAGCAAAAGCTGACAGGCCTTCAGTACAGCAAAAGGGCTATTTCGTACATACAGCGAAGCAAAAGGGAAGGTCTGTGCAAAAGGAAAATCGGCTATCCGACTCCGGACCGCTCATTGATAGAACTTCTTTAGGAAAACAGCATTCCATGGATATTGATGCGGTGTCCCATCAGGATGAGAAATTCGGTAGGCCCCATGAGGTAGGACTTCAATGACTTGAAAGGGTCCTTCCCACCTCGGTCTGAGTGGGCCGGGGTCCGGCCCCATTACGCGTTTAAGGACCAAATCTCCAACTCGGAATGAACGAGGCTTAAGTTTAGAATTGACATATCTTTCACTTCTATGTTTGTAAGCGGCATTTTTGAGTTCCGCACGGGTGCGATGTTCGTCAAGCAGGTCCAAATTAGCTTTCAGATTTTCCGAGTTGGTTTCTTCGGTAAAATGTTGAACTCGATACGTCGGCTCACTGAGTTCGACTGGAACCACGGCTTCTGAGCCGTAGGTTAAGGAAAACGGGGTCTCGCCGGTAGAAATTCGAGTTGTATTCCGGTAGGCCCATAGGACGTGTGGCAACTCTTCAGGCCAAGCTCCTTTAGCGGCGTCAAGTCGGTCTTTGAGGCCGTTTTTTATGAGCTTGTTCACATCTTCGACTTGACCGTTGGATTGCGGGTGATAAGGCGAAGAGAAAAAGTGCTTGATGTTTTATTCTTCGTACAGGGACTCAAGTCGTTTGCCTTCAAATTGTTTACCGTTGTCGGTAATGATGGAGTTCGGCACCCCGAAGCGGCAGATAATTGATTTCCACACAAAATCGACGACTTTCTGCTCGGTTATCGTGGCTAACGGTTCGGCCTCGGCCCATTTAGTAAACTAATCGACTGCCACGATAGCAAATCGGACGCCTCCTTTCCCAGTTGGCAGGGGACCTATGAGATCAATTCCCCACTTGGCAAAGGGCCATGGGCTGTAGATTGATTTGAGCTCCTCGGGAGATTGGTGGATGTTGGGCGCGAATATTTGGCATTTCGGACACTTACGAACCCATGTAGCGGCATCGGTCTTTAAGGTCGGCCAATAATAACCTTGTCGTAAGACTTTGTAAGATAAAGCCTGTGAGCCGGGGTGACTTCCGCAAATTCCTTCATGGACTTCTTCAAGAATATATCAGGAATCAGATTCCCTTACACATTTTAAAAGTGGGACGGAATACCCTCTCTTGAACAAAGTTACATTGTCCAATGTGTACCGAGCTGCTCGAATCTGAAGTGTCCGAGCTTCTTTAGGATCCGGGGGCAAGGCCCCAGTTTCTAAGTAGTGGATAATAGGACCCATCCAAGTTGGTGGTTTTTGTGATGTTACCGGATTGATGGTCGCGACTTCGGGAAGTGCGGTTGACGGTTGTTCTTGTTGTTCGATTTGGACATATTCTACGCTTTCCATCCCAGTACTGGAGGCCAATCGAGATAAGGCATCTGCTTGAATATTAAGAGTTCGGGGGATGTGTTCGACGTCAACGGAGAACCTCGATAATTTTTGCTTTGCCAAAGAGAGATATGGTGTTAATCGAGGTTCTTTGACTTCGTATGAACCATTGATTTGGTTGACAAGAAGTTGAGAGTCTGAGAAGACTTTGAGGTATTTCACGTTCATGGATTCAGCCAAATTTAATCCAGATAGCAAGGCTTCGTATTCGGCTTCATTGTTTGTCGCTGGGAAAAGAAATTTCACCGAGTGACAGAATAATCGGTTTTCCGGATTCGCTAGGACTATTCCTGCACCGGCTCGGTTGGCTGTCGAGGAACCGTCGATATAGAGAACCCATGGTTGATCATCATGGTGAATTGCTATGGCCGGAGTGAATCCGGCGATAAAGTCGGATAAGGCTTGTGCCTTGATAGCGGTCCTCGGTTGGTAGTGGATGTTGAATTGTCCAAGCTCAATCGCCCATTTTATCATGCGTCCTGAGGTGTCTGGTCAGTGTAGGACTTGGCGTAACAGATACGAAGTGCGGACAGTTATAGAATGTTCTTGGAAATAAGGTCGCAATTTCTGGGATGCAATTACAAGTGCAAACGCCAACTTTTCCATCGGAGGGTAACGTAGTTCGGCATCATGTAAGGCTTTACTGATATAGTAAATGGGTGATTGAAGGGTTCCTTCTCCGCGTACTAAAACAGCGCTGATTGCCGAATCACTGACTCCGAGGTACAAAAACAGCATTTCCTCGGGCCTCGGCTTTTGCAACGTCGGCGGAGAGGTGAGTGTTTCCTTGATGCTGATAAGGGCTTTTTGACATTCTTCGGTCCATTCGAAGCGCTTTCCTTTTTTTATTGCTTCAAAGAAATGTTTGCAACGGTCTGTAGATTTGGAGATGAACCGGTTGAGAGCAGCAAGTCGGCCAGTTAAGGCCTGAACACCCTTAACCGAGGTCGGGGGAGTTAGGTCTTGAATGGCTTTTATCTTGACCGGATTGGCTTCTGATATAGGATATCATACCCACAAAGCTAAACCGGTCCGTTGACCGGTTGAGGAGGTCGTATCACGAGGAAGCCAAAGAAATCGAGTAGTCAATTAGTCGACCGAGCAAGGCTGTCGACCAAACTATCCTTCGACCAGATACGCGATCGAGCAACCTCTTCGACCTCGACAGGTCGATCACTTCGAGGACTTAACACCACGCTGTTCGGCCCAGTCATAGGCGCGTGAAGGGAGCCTCTGACAGATATCCAGGAGAATATTTGCCCCATGTGAGGGGGACACGTGTCGAAAAGGCAGTGGTGGATAGCGATAACCACCTCTGACAGCCTACCCCATGTGCAGGGGGACACGCGTCCAAAAAGGATTGGTGCAGGCGATAGTGGCAACGGCCGCCTCTGACACACGCGTTTGGTGTGTACGGACGGGCAGTTAGGGCAGACAGTTCATCAAATCCGGGCAGCCCTAGGTCAGGTATCTCACCCCTATATAAAGGGGGTGAGCCTTTCTTCTTCAACACGATCATTCTACTACTTACTCTTGAGAATTGATTGAATACACACTGACTTAAGCTTCGGAGGCTCTTCACCGGAAAACCCCTCCGGTGTGAGAGTTCTTTGTAGGTGCACGACGTTCAACCGGCAAGAAGGAAGGAGATTACTCAAGTTCCAGCCGGTCGAGGAGTTTTGTGTTACCAGCTTCAATTCCACGTTGGCTGACCATATAGCCCAGAAATTTTCCCGATTTAACTCCGAAGGTGCATTTCTTGGGATTTAAGACCATGGAATAAGATCGGAGGACATCGAACATATCTTGAAGGTGTATTACATGGTCAGAAGCGTGCACCGATTTGACGAGCATGTCGTCGACGTAAACTTCCATAGTATGACCAATCATCGCGGCAAACATTTTATTGACGAGTCGTTGGTAAGTAGCTCCGGCGTTCTTCAACCCAAAAGGCATCATGGTATAGCAGTACAGGCCTCGTGCCGAATAAAACAAGGTGTGTTCGGAATCTTCAGGATCCATCGGAATCTGATTGTAGCCGGAGTAAGCATCCATGAAACTCATCAAGTCGTGTCCCAACATGGCATCAACCATGTAGTCTATATGTGGGAGTGGATAACTGTCCTTGGGACACGCTTTGTTCAAATAAGAAAAATCGATGCACAGTCTCCATAGCCCATTGCTCTTTTTAACAAGGACAGGATTTGAGACCCATGTCGGATATCTGCCTTCTTTGATGAATTTGTTGTCGATGAGTTTGTTGACCTCCTCTTCCAGTGCTTTCTATCGGTCCGGCCCCAGTTTTCTTCTTTTCTGAACAACAGGACGGACTGTTCGATCGAGGTTTAGCTTGTGGCTAGCGACACCGGGGTCGATGCCCTTCATATCTTCGTGTTTCCAGGCAAAAACATCAGAATTGTGTTTGAGAAATGAAATAAGTTCTGACCGAAGAGGTTCTTGGAGATGACTCCCGATGCGCAATGATTTGTGGAAAACTGGTTCATCAACGTATATTACCTCTACGTCTTCTCCAGGTTCGGCTCGATCACTTCGGCTTTTTTCTTTAAATTGGGCTCTTGGGTCCAACTCATCTTCTTTAAGGATAGGTTCCTTTCCAGGTCGGCGACCTCGGTCGTCGGTCAAAGGATCCGAGGTGGGAGGATCACCGTCGTGGTTGTTTGGTTCTTCGGACACCGTGTCGTTCGAGACGCTTTGTAGTGGAGAATTGCTCGTCGAGGTGGAATGGACTCCGTTGGGTGGTATGATTGTAATAAGTTCTCGAGCTTCTCTCTGGTCTCCAAAGTGTGTCCCTTCTCCTCGTGTAGTCGGGAACTTCAGAGCGTAGTGAAAGATCGAAACCGCAGCTCGAAGTTTATACAATGATGTTCTGCCGATGATGGCATTGTACTCATTATTGATATCCAGAATCTTGAAGGTTTCCATGACGAGCTTAGTGACATTCTCCAAAGTGCCGAATCTGACAGATAAAGTGATCTCGCCGATAGGCTTCGAAATACTTCCGTTGAACCCTTGTATCTGATCATTGCAAGGTCGGATGTCGGCGGGATCAAGACCCATTTTGTCAAAAGCTTTTAACATCAAAATGCTCGAATAGGCCCCATTATCCACCATAACACGATGTACGGGGACTCCGCATATTGGGACGGTGATGACAAGTGCGTCAGAATAGGGGTGCGCAAAGTGATTAGCATCCTCCATGTTAAAGGTTATGGGACAATTCCGATTGTTGAGGATGTCCCTCAAATCAGTAGTGTACACTTGTTTGCTGGAGTTATACGCTTGTCGGGCATAGGCTTTGATTTTTCGACGGGACAATGTATTCCGGGAGTTATTGGTGTTGACACGGTGGACGGTGATTTGCATCGGTTCAGGATATCAATCTCGTTTATATCCTCGGACAGTTTCAGCAAAATCTGAATTGGGTGTTTCCGAGGTGAACGTAAATACTTCCTTGTCTCCTTGTCGGATGCGTTTTGGCATGGCGCCTTGGTCCTCCTCATCATCTTCATAATAGGAGTCAATTTGACGCCCTGGACCTCGTCTCTGGGGGTCAGTATTGCGATAGAACACTCTGAGCTGCGGATGACCGATTAAACGTAACAGGGCAGCCAACAAACTTAAACATTCATCAGTATTGTGCCCCGGTGATTTATGATAATCACAATACCGGGACTTATCCAACTTTTCTTCAGGCATCCGAAGTGGTTTGGGGTCCAGTAGAATGCCTTTTCCTTTGATCTCTTCATATATGGTAGCTGCCCCTGCAGAGTATACGGTTTGATAACCGGACTTCACATCGGTAGCGTACTGTTTTCGGGCCGATCGAACTTCAGGATCATTGGGGTCTCCTCGGGGAGGTCCCCTGAATTGAGTCTTGTTTTGCTTGTCGAAAATTTTATTCTTCTTTTTCTCGTCGGTCCCCAGCTTAGAAGACTTCGGGTTAAAGTTAAAATCGGGGACCGACATGGCTTCTTCAGCTATGATGTGTTGCTGAGCTCGAGCAAGAAATTCTTGAAAAGTGTTTGGTTTATTTTGGCACAGCGTCCAACGGAAAATCAAATTCGGTTTCAGTCCGGCAATAGCCATGACAAGCAAAGTTTCGGGGTGACAAGGTTCCATGTTTTGAACTCGGTCATTAAATCGGGCAATATAATCCTTGACACTTTCATCATCTTTCTGAGTTATGTTTGCAAGAGATTCTTTTGGAATTAGGCAGACTTGAGCCCCGATGAAATGAGATCGGAAAGCCGACCTTAGTTGTTGCCACTTCCAAATTGAGTGGGGAGGTAGAGAATGGTACCATTTTTGTGCCCGAGGCCCCAGTGTAAGCGAAAACATATGACACCGGAGTGCGTCTGAGGCCCCATGCAGATCCATCCATGAAGTATAATGACCGAGGTGCGAGTCAGGGTCTGACGTTCCATCATATAGCCCGATCTGGGGGACCTTGACTTTCCCAGGCACAGGTTCCGAAGTGAGCTCCGGAGTGAGGGGGGAATCGGCTTCCAAATATACTTGCGCCGATGTTGCAGCCCGCCGAGGTGGGTCTTCGGGTGCCCGTTGCCGGCTCTCCAATTCGACAACCCTCCGTCGTAATGTTTCAAGTTCAGATGACTCTTGACGAGCCCGATTTCGTTCTATGTGCTGCCGAAGGTCGGTCTGCGCCGGGTTGGAGGGGTTTCGGCGCTGTGCACGAGGCGGTGACCGTCGTGAATGACCAGACTGGCTTTCGGCAGTTTCTTCTTGAGGAAGTATAGGAGGATTGCGCCCAACGTCGGTGCGTCATGTGATTTGTTCTGGAGGTGGTTGCGACACTCTATCACGAGGTTGAGAGGTTGCGTGAGATGTAGTTCTTCCACTGTCTCGCCGCACGGGTGGATTCTGCGGATTTGCAGGAGTCGTCGGTATTATAGAATGTCCCGGGGCGGTCGTCGACGTTCCGGGGATCGTTTGAGCCATCAGAGAGGCGAAACCATGTGCAAACTCCGGATTTTGAAACAAAACAGCGTAATCCGGTACAGGGGGAGCTACGGCCTGCCGCCTGGCGGAGTGGGCAGAGCTGCGACTGTGGCCGTCTCGTGAATTATTACCACGATGATCTGAACGCGACATAATGGATATGGCTGATGTGAATCGTGATTTGAACAAGCGGAGATTAACCTCAAATCACTTATGAGCCCTTCCTCTAGTGCCAAACTGTTGTCGTATGGTTCTGAACAATGATTTAAAGTTGAGTTTATGGGATAATTCATGTAAGAATTATTCAACAATGGCCCCGGTCCGAGGTGGACCGAGGTGAAAAACCTTTATAGGTTGTTACGTGTTGCATATTCATGAATTCGGGATCCCCGTACAAATGTCATAGGCTCGCTATTTATAGTAGCTTTTTCGATAGATACATTGGAATTCGTGTATTATTTTTCGTATAAAGTAACTTTTGGTGGGCGGTTGGAGCAGTGGGTCCCACGTGAATGTTGACAAATCTCGTGGATTGTGATAGGGGTGTGTAGGCGCCTTGTCACCTGCTTTAGGAGGTGACGACCTCGGTTTATGTTGACCTCGGTTTGGGATGACTTCGGCGGAGGATGAGTCATTTCGGTCTTCTTGAGTCGAATGAGTCATATCGGTCTATTGCGCGAACCGGGATGACTTTATGCCATGGTAATGTCTGAATCAAATTTGCTTATGGTGCCATTTTGGACCTTTAATTACGATTTACCGAGTCGGATGATAACAGTTTTATTTTCTTTTCTTTCCATTTCTTTTTGTTCGGGACGAACAAAGGTTTTAGTGTGGGGGAGTTGTTTGTCCCATTTTTGTGTCTTTATTTTGGGTTTATTTTCTCTTTATTTTTCCCCACTTGTAGGATTTTCATAGTTTATTTGGTCCAATTCTGTGGTTTTGTATTTCTCTCTTTAGTTTCTATATTTGTGTCTCTTTGTTTTGTTTTGCTTCGTGTTTTTCTTCGTGTTTGTGTTTTCAAGAGGTAGGTTGTGTCGGTCGAGGATGAGATTGCTCGAGCTGAGACTGTAATATCAAGAATACCCATTGTCGTGCCCAGAACACTGAAGGAAGGACCGAAAAAATGGACTAAAGAGGAGCCCAGCATTTTTCGCAACTCGCGAGTTGATCGCGACTCGCGAGATTTTCAGAGACTAAAGGAGTGGATCGCGAGACGAGTCGCGACTCGCGAGTTATGGTCGCGACTCGCGAGATGGAGTCGCGACTCGCGAGACATGTCGCGAATTTCCCCAGATTTTGAAGATTTTTTGCCGACGCGCGACTCGCGAGATGGGATTTTGGTAAGTCGCCACTCGCGACTTACGCGGCGCGAATTTCGAGGACGGGATTTTTATATCAAAATTTCGACCCAGAGATCATTATTCGACTTTCAGACTTTGTTTTTACGCATTTTCTATCTAGAAACTCATTCCTTTTCATGTTTTTTCTCTTTTAACTGGATTTTAGAGATTGAAACTCTGTTTTCTAGCTTTGGATTTGGATTGTTCATTGGATTTGACATTGGGATTCTCTTTATTAATCGTAAGTTCTTCTTTTCTCAATTGTGTGATGATGATGATGGCTTGGGTTTATATGAATTTTGATGTTGAATTCCATATGAGTAGCTAAATCTATTCGCTAGGGATAGAGGATGATTGATTAGGTTCGATTAATGATTGCTTGTTCTTGATTGCTCATGTCTATTCGAGTTGTGTTTATTCTAGGGTTAGTAGATTGATCACCTTTCTAACCTAGCTAATCAACGTGTAGAACCGAGAGGGGAGACGTTGGTCGATTTAGGCTCGTTTAGGATAGACTTATTCGGAGACGTATTGTCTATTGTGTTGCTGGAAATGATAGTTGATCGTGTACGTTCACTCTCTTGCTACGAAGAGTTATTGAGAGTGAGCCTCTGGACGAGAGACGATTCAAGTCCTTTAACCGAGCAATTGATTGTCGGTAGTTGTGTTAGAACCGAAAGCATTTATCCCCGATTCCCTAGCTCTTTAATCGCTGAGTAAACTTTTCCTGCTATTTAAATCGCTTCTCTTTTTTTTTAATGAAGCTATAGAAAATCGCTTCTCATTAGCTTTAAATTCTTAGTTGATAATTGAAACCCCAAAAATCTTTGAATAGAGTGTTTAGGATTTTCTCTTTTTCGTGATCGAGTAATCGTACAATTAAATCCGGCTAACCTTCCTTGCGATACGCCCCGGGGAACGAATCTTTCGATTCTACTCCAGTAAAAATACTGACAACAGGCAACATGTCAACTGTTGGGCTCAGATGCGAAAATGCGGAAGATATAAATTAAAACACCTAAGGTAAAATAGTGAACAATAATCTCAATCTCAGCAACTCAAGAATGACAAAAGAAATATCTTGCAATAATACATGAATAATTCTTTTCTGACGTGGAAGATCATATTAAACTGCGACCACCGTGCATACTAAGAATATCCCTAATAAATAAAATATGCAGAAATAAGTCAGCAAGATTTAACTTGGAAAAACCTCCAATGTAGAGGAAAAAACCACGGGACAACCTCCGAACAATTCCACTATATTTTGAAGATAATTTCAATATCTTTTCACACTCCCCTAGACTAGAAATGTAAAATATAGTGACCCAATGAGACCCCACTCCTATTCAAATATTAAAAACAAGGAGTAATAGAGTAGATACCCAACCCGGTGTATTTTTATCACACTCACAGGATTTACTCAAACACTCTATTTTTATCTCACTGAAAAATAACACTCACAAGATTTTATTTCTTCTCTTTTTCACCTTCTGCTTGGTGTGTTATTTCCTCTGCCGAATGTCCTCTATTTATAGAGGAAAAAGATGCTCAAATTTGTTGAAGTTGGCAGCCTACTTTGCCAAACAATGACACCTCATTGTATAAAAGATTTTTAGTCAACTTTTGTTGGTTGTACTTGACAACCACTTTTGGCTGGACTCTCACATCAACTCCCCTTACAAATCTAACAACAACACCTGAACATTAAACAACACTAGTCTAGACTAATAAAGAAAAAGGAAACAAAGGAAGATAACAAAGAGAAAATATCAAATGCTATGGAGTTACAACAAGTATCAAAGGGTGATCTTTGAGCTAGCTTTAGACTCACAGATTTATTCTTCATCATACATCAGCAATTGAGCCATCCAGATTGTTTTGCCTTAAGCATAATCCATCTCACTGCCTCCAACCACTGTCCTTCTAAATACCCATCGTACCAGATATTGTGCTCCAAGGTCTGATCAGAGTCACCTTCCTTCATGACTTCACAGGACAACTTCAGCTAATTCCTTGAGGAGTGTTGAGCACTAACAATGAAACTCCACTGCCATACTCTATGAGAAAATTCCTCCTCAGGAACCCTCTTGATATAGGATATTATACTGGACCCGGTTTAATGGATAAAGCAGATATATATTGGAGGATAAGCCCACTAAGACACCTAAGCCCAACGATAGGGGTCAAGCCCAACTTGGGCCCAAAAGGTACATTCCCCCTATAAAAGGGGGCCAAGGTACCTCATTCTCTCATTCTCTATTCATTCATTACTGCACTATCTCTCTCTTGGGATCGGATACTGACTTAGGCATCGGAGGCCCGACGCCGGGGCCACCCCCGGCATTGGGTTCTGCAGGTACGGAGGCCGGTTCGAGTTGAAGGAGCCCGGGTGAAATCTATTCACTTCATTGGTGCCGTCTGTGGGACCCGTCAAAAGGTTAAGCGGAGTTCCGACTGAAAAAATTGAAAAACCTCCTTCTTCTTCACCGGCTGCCGCCACCGCCGGCCGCCACCTCCGCCGCCGGCTGTCGGAAAACGTGCTCCGATTGGAAAATCGTTTACATCATCGGATAGATCTCGTCGAGGTAATCTACCCTTAAAATTTGGAGCAAAATTTCTCCGGGAAGGCCGTCGATTTTGCGGTCAAAGTTTCCAGATCTAGCAAAAATTTGGTCAAAATCGAGCATTCAAATGCATTTTTCCGACGATCCGGGAAGGCTATGGAAAATCCGGGAGCACCACTGGAATCCTCTCGTCGAGGCAAGTTTCCAGGTCACCACATCAGCCGGACGCCGTCGTCCGTCGGCCGCCGGCCGCCGCCACCTCTGCCACCGGCCGCCGCGATAAAACCTCCGATTGGAAAGATCTTTACATCATCGTGAAGCTCTTCTCGCGCTCGTGCTACCCTTAAATTTTCGAGCAAAAATTTCATCGGGAAGGCCGTCGATTTTACGGTCAAAATATTTGGATCTAGAACAAAATTGGTCAACACTTGATCATCTTCTTCGATTTTCTGGCGATACCCGACGAACCACTTTGAACAGAGAACACCATCGGAATCTCCTCTCCATGGCGAGCTCACCGATGGTCATGTTCGCCGGAGACGACGACTTTCCTCCGATGGCATTTCTTCCGACGAGCCGGATGTTGGCAGATTTCAGCGGGCTGAGCGCTGTTCAACCAGCTGGCGTGAGCCCGAGTCAGAGTTCGGTCCACCATGCGAGCCCAGCATGCTGCCCAGGAGCCGAAGCCCAGGTGCCGACGAGGAGGTCCAACGAGGAGGCCCATTTCGCAGCCCAGTCTGCAGGGCCCAACGGCGCGAGGCCTAGGAGGAGAGCAAGAAGAAACAAGCGGGCCAGCTGCGGCCCGCGAAGCCCGAATACCTTCGGGTTCCAGCCCGCGCGGGTCAGCGTCCAGCCCGTGTGTGGCCCGCG